CCTGAGAAACGTCATAGCATAAGCGTAGACGAGGGGGTCTAATTCCATGGCTATAATAAATTTATAAATTAAAAAAACACAACTGGGACGTTTTAAAATGCTGTAATAATCAAAATGCCGGTTATAGCAAACCGTAAAAAATATTAGATGTTATGTTTTATTATCTTTTTTCAATATTTTCTATATCTTGTTGCCTTTTACGCAGATACGCCAATGGATTTTCGTTCCCGGCACGCTTCATCCCCCTTACTAGTCCAAAAGCTAGCGATGAGTCACTCTCTCTAATTTCGACCGCGGAGTATAATTCTTCTCTTAAATCTTAAACTTTATTAAATGTCTGTTTTATGAAATATTACATATAATACAGTTAACAAACTCAGGACTCAGGACTTTTCGTGTTAGAAAGTTTTACCGATGTATTTACTTTTGAGAGAATTATTAGTTGCCAGAATGCGAACATTAGCAATGTTTGTAAATTGTTTTTATTAGTTTCAGAATTACCTACATACTTCCAAAAAGACAAAAATAATCAGTTTGTTGTCAATAGTGGGAAGATTAGAGGCCAAATTTCAAAGAAAAACAGCAAATTTTCTCAATTGTCGACGTTTCGTCACTTATCGTGACATCCTCAGGACACTATAAAATTTAATAATTTCAAAATTACATCACAATTTATAAATAACAAACTTAACATTAAAATATTAAAAAATTTAAAAAGTGTGTCTAAAACATTACAATAAAATGAATACAGTAATATCTATATAAACATGAAAAAAAAAAAAATTACAAATACAGACACACTAACAATTTTGATATGTCACAAATTTAAAAAGAAAAGTATTAAAATTACACAAACAAAATGTTTTTATATAATAAATAATAAAATAACAAAATATGGTGAATGAACAAGAAACGCAACAAACAACAACCTGTACATAACATGCGAAAAAGAAAATTTTAAATTAAAATTAAATCTACGTATATTGTTTATATGTTACTCACATTACAGATTTAAGT